ATAATTCTATTCTAATACGTACAAACTAACCTTCTTGAAATAAAAGAACATAAAAGACTCTAGTAATTCTTGAATTGCAATTCCAAGCAAACACAAATCATGCTTTCAAACATACTTGAAAGTGGTAACAAACAATGAGAGACTGGTAACAAATAGACTAATTAAGACTGATACGGAGTAATTCATAAAATTCCCATAAAAAACCAAAATCTTAGTAATAATTGATGTAATCAATTGATTGAAGATAAATTATAGCAAAAAAAGTTAGAAATACTTAAAGACTGATAAATTTTTAACCTGAATTAGCTTGATTGGCAGGGTCACTTAGTGTGTATTAGAAACCCTCTAGAGTGCCATGGTAGCATCATAAATTAAACTTCTGTTCACATACTCTGAGACATTTCACCGAATAGGTGGCGACTACTCTTGGCCCGTGCAAATCTCCAAACTGAAAAAAGACATGACATTCCTAGTACCTTGAGGAACACACTGCAAATTGCTTGGACTTACATGCGAAGAACTTCAATTCTGTAATCTTGGGGTAAAAATATTTCTCCCAACTCTGGAAATTAAACGACGAAATGAAAAAGATCAAAAGAACCAATTGACCCTGAAGATGTGAAGGGAAGATGCTAGTGAGGAGGTGCTGAGGAAGATGAGATGCGATAGAATAAGAAGATCAACGATGAGATGCTATCGAGTGGTTTGTCTACGGTTAGAAGAGAGAGAGCGAGAGTACCATGTGAGCGGTTTGATGCAAGTGGCCGAGTAACTTTTTACTGTTCACGCCTAAAACTTTGAGCGGGAAGTTTCTTCTGCTGCTGTTGTAAATAGGGAGAAGTCATGTGTTTCTATTAATCAAAAATATAAACCAAACCATGTCATTCATACCTTAGCCTAGATGTAGTAAATTATCACGAAGAGCTAAACCAAGATAAGAAATCTTGATGGTCAGTGAACCAAGTTTTTGTAAAAAGGAATTGTTATTTCCAAAGTAAACTGTAAGTTTGACAAATCCACAAAGGAAGTTTCAGCACAACCATCACTAAGAACATATATTATTTCTGATAGGAACTTTCAATGAAAGAAGTAGAACCAAAATTCAAGACCTTAAAACTAAAATTTAGAATCTGAGGGGCGTGTTAATCAAGTTAAACCCAAAAAGATGTTAAGAACCTCAAGTTACCATTATCCATTATTCAAGAGCCTAGTATAAAAATTAAGCGGGATATATTCCTCCTGCTATTGTAAATGGGGAGATTGATCGTAATATAAAAGGTATAAATCATTGGTGAACATGTATTTTTGAAGTTCAACAAAATTTAGGAGGTTTCTATAATTTAGGAACATATACGCCTAATAAAATCTAACAGATATGAAGACGAAAGCTAGAGTCTAGTACTCAAGTGTCTTTTATGATCAAGAAAAATCTAGCCTAGAAGACAACTTAACTGTAACCATACATAAAAAGGGTGTTTTCAATATGTTAAAACTCTCACCCTTTCATCTAAATTTTAAAAAGCACAATCAAAGTGCATCTTTAGAAAGTGTCAACTCAACTGCCCAGTTGGTTTTGGGCATGGACCTCTATGATGTCTTGATAGCCATAGAATCCTATACTTGAGCAGCAACACCTTATATAGTGATTCAAGTGCATTCAAAACAATGTCTTTTTCTATGTGNAAAATCTAACAGATATGAAGACGAAAGCTAGAGTCTAGTACTCAAGTGTCTTTTATGATCAAGAAAAATCTAGCCTAGAAGACAACTTAACTGTAACCATACATAAAAAGGGTGTTTTCAATATGTTAAAACTCTCACCCTTTCATCTAAATTTTAAAAAGCACAATCAAAGTGCATCTTTAGAAAGTGTCAACTCAACTGCCCAGTTGGTTTTGGGCATGGACCTCTATGATGTCTTGATAGCCATAGAATCCTATACTTGAGCAGCAACACCTTATATAGTGATTCAAGTGCATTCAAAACAATGTCTTTTTCTATGTGGGTTGGAAATGTGTATCAGAAGTTTGGAGCTATGTGTTTGGGAATTCAAGATGCTATGTACAAGGACAGTATAGCTTATGTTGAAAATCAAGTGCAAAAAGGTTTTGCTCAGAAATGATGCAAGATTTGCATCCTGCGTCTCTTCTAGATCCTGTGGGAGTTGTATTTGCTGACATGTCTGTGAATCCATATGCTTACCTCGAGATTGAGAAAAAGAAGAAAAAGGAAAACATGAAAGAACATCATGGGAAATCCACAGAAGATATGAAATCTACAGACGATACTCAAGTCATCAAGGGGAGAAGCACACTGGGTGGGATACATAGACGCCGTAATGTTGGGACTATATAGAAAACTGAAGGCTATGATGATCTTCCTTTAATGGCATCTCTACCCGTGAGTTCTAAATCTTGGGAGAGAAAAGATATGAAATCCCCAGTCTGTGAAATAGGAGAAACGTCGGAGGAAATTTGTGATCATAAAGTGGGTTCCCCTGTTCTTGGGAGAGGAATAAGATGAAGTCCCCAGTCTGTGAAATAGGAGAAACGTTAGAGGGAATGTGTGATCATAAGGTGGACTTACCAGTGACTTCTAAGCTTTGGGAGTGTAATAACGTGAAGCCCCCAGTCTTTGAAATAGGAGAAAAGATAGAGGAAATCTTTGATCATGAAGAGGATTCTAATATGCAAACAACAGGCATTTCTATAGGAAATGTGGCTTCTGAAGTGACATGATTGGTTGGATCACCGGTCTGTGGAAAAGGAGGAAGCTTAAAGGAATTTTTTGTACCCAAAGAGGACGATAAAATGCAAACAACAGGAAGAGTTATTTATATTCTAACAGAAAGTACACTTTCATTTCTTTAACAAAATAGAAAATTGAAGAAAATACCTCTTTTTAGAAGACCATTGGGATGTTTCTCAATCTGCCCTTTCTTCAATTTAATCATTGCTCCATAATATGCGTGTTGCAGGAGGCCATAGATGTTCCTCCTTCGTCATCACCTCTGCTCGCTAATGTGTGTTGCTCAAAACATCAGATAGATTAAAAAGTCATGAGCGTGCTCTCTGTATGTCACCTCCACAATCTGCTTGAGTGGTAAGATGTGAATGAAATTGGTGTGTGAAATAGTGGGAGATTAAGGCAATTTAAATATGCTGATGTGTGAATTGATGTGTGAAATAAACTGTGAAATCATTCTCGCCTGAAAAATCATCCTTATGTATTCATTTGAAAATTCATAACACTACTAAACTAACAATTTAAGTAAAAAAACACCGAGTTAATGACAATCCCACTTGATCAGGAGAAGAGTTTGACTGAAAATTATTTGATGAAAATGAGTTTCGTTGAGCCCAAACCGTGTCTTCTTCGCGCTGCTTCTTTCTTTAAAAATACAAAATTGGAGACTAAGGATGATCCAAACCGTGATAATTCAAAAGGGTGAAGCAAAAATATGCATTTTCAGAATACTATCGTCTCCCACTCAGGCGACCTTGACCAAAGCCCAAATTAGTGGTTTTTTGCTCAGTTAGTACATATAAATTCAAAGTCGTTTTTAATCAAATAGCACATGAACTAAATTGTCAATAAATCCTAATAAAAATTAACATAACTTCTTAAAAATGGAAGAGAGTGTAGAAACACATAAAATTGAAAAATTATACTGAGTAAAAGTTTTTTCACCTGTCATTCTTCTTGGCGCTTCTTCCCTCTGTCTTCTTTCTTCTTTTTTATTTGAATATTGACCAAGTATTTTTCTGACTGCCTCAACCAAATTCATCACGATGACAAAAATGGGTCACTTAGTCTCAATTCTCAATACATGAGAGACAAATGGTTAAACAAACCGCCAAAGGGGCCACATCAGATTCTGGAGCAGCCTTCCAATTTCGCACTCTACGCCTAGGAACAATTTCTTTTTCCTTCAGTTGCGGTTCCACCACTATATGTTTCTTTTGTTCTCTACGCCTAGGAACAGCCTTCCAATTTCGCACTCTACGCCTAGGAAAATATTCTTTTTCCTTCCGTTGCGGTTCCACCACTATATGTTTCTTTTATTCTCTACGCCTAGGAACAGCCTTCCAATTTCGCACTCTACGCCTAGGAACAATTTCTTTTTCCTTCCGTTGCGGTTCCACCACTATATGTTTCTTTTATTCTCCAGCAGCCAAAGCAATGCACATAAGATTAATAGACAACACATTTAGGCAGGAATTATTGTTTGAAAAAAAAATATACTCTGTACTTCAAATGCCAACATAGAAAGCAAAGTTAAAAGGAAAAAGATAAAAAAAATACATACTCACTTCAAGATGGAGATGACGGCACACCATTAGGGAACCCAATCTGAATCATTTAAAGTGAATTTAAATTAATATTAAATAATAAACGTAATTTACTTGCGCACATCAAATAAAATAGGAATAATACCTCAAACCATTGATAATTTTGAAACATTGAATTCAACAAATCTAAAATACAATTACAAAAAAAATCAAACTCTGTTTCATATCAACCTGATAATTCTATTCTAATACGTACAAACTAACCTTCTTGAAATAAAAGAACATAAAAGACTCTAGTAATTCTTGAATTGCAATTCCAAGCAAACACAAATCATGCTTTCAAACATACTTGAAAGTGGTAACAAACAATGAGAGACTGGTAACAAATAGACTAATTAAGACTGATACGGAGTAATTCATAAAATTCCCATAAAAAACCAAAATCTTAGTAATAATTGATGTAATCAATTGATTGAAGATAAATTATAGCAAAAAAAGTTAGAAATACTTAAAGACTGATAAATTTTTAACCTGAATTAGCTTGATTGGCAGGGTCACTTAGTGTGTATTAGAAACCCTCTAGAGTGCCATGGTAGCATCATAAATTAAACTTCTGTTCACATACTCTGAGACATTTCACCGAATAGGTGGCGACTACTCTTGGCCCGTGCAAATCTCCAAACTGAAAAAAGACATGACATTCCTAGTACCTTGAGGAACACACTGCAAATTGCTTGGACTTACATGCGAAGAACTTCAATTCTGTAATCTTGGGGTAAAAATATTTCTCCCAACTCTGGAAATTAAACGACGAAATGAAAAAGATCAAAAGAACCAATTGACCCTGAAGATGTGAAGGGAAGATGCTAGTGAGGAGGTGCTGAGGAAGATGAGATGCGATAGAATAAGAAGATCAACGATGAGATGCTATCGAGTGGTTTGTCTACGGTTAGAAGAGAGAGAGCGAGAGTACCATGTGAGCGGTTTGATGCAAGTGGCCGAGTAACTTTTTACTGTTCACGCCTAAAACTTTGAGCGGGAAGTTTCTTCTGCTGCTGTTGTAAATAGGGAGAAGTCATGTGTTTCTATTAATCAAAAATATAAA